GGTTGCATAGCAGAGTCACCCTCTTCCAATAGCTAATGAGCACTGCCGAGGGATGAATACGTTAACCTATGCGGTTTGCGAACGAAATATCATGTAGAACGTCCAGCGAAAGCAAGTGTCTTTCTGCCAGTATTTTCTCATGAATTTTATTTTTCAGCAGCAGCAACAGCAACGTTTATAAGAATTAAACAGTGACCGAGATATAAACGGCGCTCTGTTGGCCGTTTAGTGTGGCCAGCAGTGGGTTGGTGCTGTTGTAACGAGTTGCCAGACTGATCGGCCATACAGATGGTAACTGCTTGTTCGGTGCGCCCATTTCCCAGTACACTTCCATCAGTTTGGTCAAATCCTCGGCCAAACACGGGCAATTATAGACACCAACACCTAGTTCTTTCACCTAAAATCAACGTCTGATTTTGCACTCAACAGCTGCACCGTCAACAAAAGCTTGAATTTGTCACGATTTTGTACCTGAGTTAAAGCTCGCCAGTCAAGATTGGCCGAGCCCAGATACAGGTGCTTCTTATCGACAATCCAGAACTTCGTATGCAACACTCCTGCAATTCAGGTCACCACTGTTCAACATGACAAACGAATTGATCAGGTGAATTCTTACCCCCAGGAAACCAGTTTGAAAAGTTCAAACTGCGAACATGGGCCCAGCCTTTGCTCGCCAAATCCGCCGTCTCGTTATTCGCCTGTGCATTCTGGACAATTCGCAATTTGACGCTTCTATTTGCCGCTGCTGCTATCAGACCATTGTAAATATCGACCCCCTGGAAACGACATTCGCAGGAAGAAATGAACAAAACAACAGGCCATTTCAGCTGAACGCAAGGTCATTGTGAGCAGCAGAAATATATAAACGAAGATACATCTTGAGTTGTTTCACCCCTGTAGGAACCGGCACTTTCAGGAAGAAGAGTCCAGTAGAAGGATGCGATATCAATTGTTGATTCGGCCAAACTGATCAGTCTTTTCCAAGTTTCCGATGTCGAAGGGAATTCCAACGGCTGATCATACGTCACATTTTCCGGTATTGTTTCTACAAGGTGAAACCTGAAAATCTGTGTTGCAACTTTAAAAAAA